AAATTTTCGCTCAAGATAAATTGTACTCTTTTGGTAGCTATAGCATAGTCATTTTCCGCTTACCTTGCATTGTAATGCATATTAATCTGATGAGTAGGTAACTTCCTCTTCATCACAATATGTCGAACAATATAAATTCGAAATCATTTTCAGGTCGGCTACTCTGAACCTCGTCCTGTTGTATGCTCCTGTGGTATGCGATTTTGCTTTGGATGCGCGCATGAATGGCATGAACCAGTCAACTGTCGTCTGTTGAAACTTTGGTTGAAAAAGTGCAGTGATGATTCGGAAACCAGCAACTGGATCAACGCCAATACTAAGGAGTGTCCCAAGTGTCAGGTTAGAGATAATGTCTGCATTAATCACTTCATATGATTACATTGTCAGGTTACCATTGAAAAAGACGGTGGTTGCAACCATATGGTCTGCAAAAACACTGCCTGTCGTATGGAATTTTGTTGGATCTGTCTGGGACCATGGGAACCACACGGAAGCAGCTGGTATAATTGCAATAGGTGAGTAATATAATCTGTAAGTGCGCGAGAAGCAACTATATTACTTGTGCTCAAGGTACGACGATTCTCGCGCTAAACAAGCTAGGGATGCTCAGGAGCTTTCTCGAGCAAATCTTCAACGTTACCTACATTATTACAATCGATTTATGAATCATCAACAGAGCTTAAAGCTTGAAAACAAGGTGGCTTTTTACTTATAATCTCACTCAAATATCTATGTATTTGTTTCAGCTGTACACTACTGTGAAAGGAAAGATGGAATTGATGCAAGCGCATATGTCATGGATTGAAGTTTGTCCTCTTTTTTAGTTCCCATGGTCTGCAGAATGAATTTGTATTTAGGTCCAATTTCTGCGTAAAGCTGTAGATGTTCTATCTGAGTGTCGCAGAACACTCATGTATACTTATGCCTTCGCCTATTACCTTAAAAGAGATAATCATGCCGAAATATTCGAAGGAAATCAACGGGTAAATGTTTCTTTTGGAATTCAGTTAGCTTCCTTGATTGTTGTTGATTAGATTATGCATCTAGTACTACACCTAGCTATCCCCATTGTAGAATTAGTCGAGAAACTGTCTCGATAATGTCCCTACTAATGCTTTTACAGGATCTTGAGATGGCGACAGAGCAGTTGTCACAATTTTTAGAACGTGATTTGGAAAACGAAAATCTAGTCACTTTGAAACAGAAGGTATCAAATCACTTTTTTCTTGCTCCGCTTGGACATCTTTTGAGAAGAAAGTTGGTTTTAGGTACAGGACAATTACCGTTACGTAGACCAGCGACGTCTAGTCTTGCTTAAACATTGTCAAGAAGGAACTGAGCGAGATATCTGGCAATACACTGCATGAGTCACCTGCTGCTTAGTACTCACCTGCTCAGGGAAGTGCAAGTGATTCATTTCCCATTTGTGAATCCTAACAGTGTGTTT